TAACAGATACATCTGTATAGATGTTATTCTACGAATGACTATATATAATATATTTTTCCCAGATTGATGGGCATCTAGGTAGTTTCCCTTTTTTTTCTCTTATAGATATTGCTACAAATAAAACCAAATCTGACTGAGTGCAGTGGCTTTTGCCTATAATCCCAGCACTTTGGGAGGCCAAGGCGGTAGGACTGCTTGAGTCTAGGAGTTCAAGACCAGCCTAGGCAACATAGCGAGACCTCGTCTCTACAAAAAAAAATGTTTTAATTAGCTGGACACGGTGGCACACACCTGTAGTCCCAGCTACTTGGGAAGCTGAGCCAGGAGGATCGCTTGAGCCCAGTAGTTTGAGGATACCATCAACTGTAATTGCACCACTGTGCTCTAGTCTGAGTGACAGAGTGAGACCCTGTCTCTAAAAAAATTTTTAAAACACAGACAGACAACCAAATATCTTGGTTATGAGTTACAGGCACCTACTCCAACAAGCCTAAGCACAGTAGGGATGTGAAGTCTTCAGAACCAGAAGGGCAGGCAGGTGAGGGGCATTGGGCCAGTCCTGTCACTGCCAGGGCCCCTGAACCAACTGCCCAGTCACTGTCCACTGCCCTGTTGTGCATAGGCTTTCCCCCTGCAACAGGCAGCCTGGGAGGCGAGAGGGCTTTCTTCTTTCTATCTCCCCAGTGACCTCCTGGTCCCTCTGGCTGTGACTGGCTGTAGAGGTTTTAGAAGGGTGATGTCCTACTAAGAGTGAGTCACATTTTGGGTGGGCGTGGTGGCTTACTCCTGGAATCTCAGCACTTTGGGAGGCTGAGACTAGAGGATTGCCTGAGCCCAGGGGTTTAAGACCAGTCTGGGCAACTTGGTGAGACCTCATCACTACCATAAATCAAAAAATTAGCCAGGCCTGGTGATGCTCACCTGTAGTTCCAGCTACTTAGAAGACTGAGATGGATGGATCGCCTGAACCCAGTGGGTTGAGGTTGTGGTGGCTGTGAGTGTGTCACTGCACTCTAGCCTGGGCGACAGAGTGAGACTCCAACACACACACACACAAAATGTACATTTTAAGGTTGGATATGCACCTTACAGAGGCGTACAATGTATATACTCTTACTTGTGATATCGGAGCCTGCAGCAGGTTTCCCCAGCCTCCCACCCTGCCAGCAATGCAGCACCCCATCCTCTTCCTGCTCCCTTCCTCTCTTTTCTCTCTCTGAACAGCACATGGCCTCCACCTACCCCTTGTCCTTGTCTCTGGGTACATAAAGTGATAGAGTGGTATCACCCCTCATGGGCTCTGGCTCTCATGGTATCACAGATGCTGGGAGGTGGGCTCTATATGGTAAGGTACTGTGGTGGAGTGGTTAACAGGGCAGCTCTGGATCTAGGCATGGCCTTGGTTTCCCCACATGCAAAATGGGGATGATGGCAGGGACCTGCTGTAGGAGGGCTTTGGCAGTGGAGATGAGGGGTGGTGCTGAGACATTTATGCCTGGGGGCATGAAGCTGTCCTCACAGTGTCTGCTGGGAGCCTGAAGGCCAGATGGCCTAGTAGTGTGCACATACACTGGGGATGGGGGACAGTGGCCAGTGTCCTTCCTGAAGGCTCCTTCGATCTGGGTCCCATACTCAAGTGCGGGTCACCTGCAGTTGGAGCTGAGAACTGGAATAAGCCGACTAGATTATCTGCTTGACATTCCAGGGAGGCTTTGGGGAGTGTTTGTGGACTAGGAGGAGCCGCCCTGCCCAGCCCACTCTTGACCTGGGTGTGGTATGGTGGCCATTTGGTAGAACTTTACCAAGCCAGCCACCAAACCTTCATGGCTCAATGGAGGGGCAAGTCTTCTAGGCTCTGGTGGGCTGTTCCTGGCCCATCGTGTGACTGGAAGGAGGGGCCAAGGCTTACTGAGTTCAGCTGGGGCAGCCAAGATTCAGGTAGGTGGAAGACGGCCTTTCCTTCTGGAGCCCTTAGACCCACTGCCGCTGACCTTTGGCTATCCTTTTCCTTCTAGGTCTGGCTTCTGTGCAGGGAGGCCAGGCAGGCAGCACCTTGGGAACCAGGGAGGAGGGTGGGGAGCTGCAAGCTTAGGGCCCAGTCTGGAGGCAGCTAGGTGCTGTGACACCTTGAATGGAGGATTATCCCAGAATGGGGCTCTCACTGTAATGGCGCCCTGAGACTCCCTGTGTTCACTTTGGGCATCTCATTTTCTCACAGAGGAGGTAGTTGGACCCTTAAACAGGGCAGAGACCCACTCAAGGCTACATGGAGACTGTCCTCAGGCAGCTTCCAGTGAGGTGCAGCTGCCCTGGGGTGCCTTGGGACTTTGAGAAGGTGGGCCTTCCAGGGTTGGGGGCTGAGCACCCATGAGCTGTGTGCATTTTGGGAGGACAGAGCCTCCTGTGCTGCATGAGGTATTTGGGGCTGGATCTGTAGCTCCCCAGCCTATACTCGTCCTAGTAGCAAGAAGTCCCAGGGGCCGAGGGCTGGGGGTGTTCAGGCTATCGAGATGCTGTTCCCTGATGAATTTTCATAGATATGTCTCAAAATGAGAAAATCAAAAGACAATACATTTGAAAAGTAGTTGCTGGCCGGGCTTGGTGGCTTAGCCTGTAATCCCAGCACTTTGGGAGGCCGAGGCAAGTAGATTGCTTGAGCCCATGGGTTTGAGACCCGCCCAGGCAACTTAGTGAGACCTCGTCTCTGCAATAATTCAAAAAAATTAGCCGGGCATGGTAGTGCGCGCCTGTAGTTCCGGCTATTTGGAAGACTGAAGTGGAAGGATCGCTGGAGCCCAGCAGGTCATAGTTGCGGTGACTGGGAGCATAGCACTGCACTCCAGTCTGGGCGACAGAGTGAGACTTCAACTCAAAAAAAAAAGAAAAGAAAAGTGGTTGCTGCTCTCAGGTTGTTTTCTGTAGGACATCAGGGCATCAGAATAGCTTTTCTTCTATATCAGGGCATCAGAATAGCTTTTCTTCTATAAAATGATAGATGATGTCTCTTAAATCTTTCCTTCTCATGGCCAGAGACTCATGGCCAGAGGCAGCATGCCTTGCTCTTTGCCTGTGATCTCTTCAGGTGGGAGTAGGAGACTTCTATCCAGGTTGATTCCCTGGCAGGCCAAGACACTGACCACAGAGAGGTGGGGTTCTCACCTTGCCAGCCCTGTCAAAAAGAGGGTATGGGCTGTGGGTGGCCAGCAGGGAGGGAGGGTCCTCATGGATGGGGACCTGGCCCCCAGCCTGTCTCTGGTAGGGACACTCTATCTAGAGGGTAAGGGAGGACTGGGGACCTGGGCAGAGTGTCTGACCAGCTTTTCTTGCCCTGGCCTCAGCGGTCTGTGGAAGTGGCCACACTTGGGAGCAGGCTGCTCAGAGTGCTGCCTGGAAGAGCTCTTTCCTTGGCAGAAAGCAAGTCAGGCTGGGGCCACTGTCCTTGCTGGTCCCATCTACAGGAAGCTTGCAGAGTGAGAGTAGGTCTGGGGTAGATTAGTGGAACTCCCAAGTAAATTGGGGGCCTCTGAACAGGAGGGACCTGACCAACCTAATTTGATCTGGCCTAGAACAGTTCCCTTCATGGAAGAAGGGGACATTCACTGAGATCCCTGTGTACGAGTCCAGGAAGAGAAAAGTTGGGTCAGTATCTAGATGGCCATGAGACCTGGCTGAGAAGAGAATGGAACCCCTGGTGGGCATCTTCTGTGTGGAGCATGGCCAGTGCCTTCCGAGGAGTGACCTGTGATCAGCCTAGTGACTACATTTCTTGTGTTGGGCAGGACTGGGTCATAGTAGGTAATTGGGCAGGGCTGTGCCTGACAGAAGCTGCCTGTCTGTTCCCATAAACGCCAAGCCAGGTGAGCCACCTGTACCTATGTTCACACAACCTGGACTTTTATTGCAGCCTAGGACAGTTGAAGAATTGACTGGCTTGGTCCAACGAGCACTGTTAGGAAGAGTTCTAGACACTGAGTGGTGAGAAGCTGGGGTATTGGCCAGGACAGGCTGAAGCCCAGGGGCAGGGCCTGCCTTTGCAAAATCCTCAGGGCAGTTCAGTTTCAAGAGACCTTGCCCTGCCCAGCCTGGGGGCAGCGCCTGGCCCTTGAGGGGCAAGCTCAAGGGGAAGGCCTTGCAGTTCTCTATGTCTCTTATGACAGCAGTGGCCTTTTCTGGAAAGTGTGGGTGGGAAGTGTCTGAGCCCTTCTCCCCCAGGATTGTTACCCTGCAGCGCTCTCTGAGGCCAGAGGGTTGACCTTATGAAGGACACGGCTGGGAGCCTGGTTTCACCTGAGACCTAGTGCAGGAGCTCTGGGGAGCCTGCCCCACCCCAGAGCTGACCTTGATGTACTTCCTTGCTCCTCAGGTGTGTGCAGCTACAGGAAGCAGAGGCTCTCCTGAAGACACTACTGACAAGCCCTCCTGTATCCTCAGTGCCCTGGCTGCCTAAAGAGACTCACCCTGGGTACTTGGGACCTGGACCTCAGGACTCTGACCACATACCCTGCCCCGGCCTCTGTGACTGTACCTCTTCATGAGAACTGATGCACTGACCAAGGGAGACAGCTGAGAGAGGTCAGGGGCCTGGGCCATGGCTGCTTTCAGGCCCCACCCAGGATCTTGAGGCCTGGAAGGTGAACAGAGGGCTCTAAGGGGCTTGCTGCTGATTTGCCCTGTCCTTCCTTCCCCCTCGGCAAGGTGCCAGGAAACTGGAACTTTCTTATCTGGGTAATTAGCTTCAGACCCTGGACTGAGGCTGGCCAGGTCTCAGGGCTGCTTCCCACAGGCTGTGCACCCTGACCCCAAGAGGGAGGTGAGGCGCTGCTCATGCAGAGCCCTGACAATTGAGCAGCTAGAGGCCACGCCTGCCTGGGGAGCAGGCTGTGGATTCCTCCTACGCTGTCCTCTCTGCCTGAGGCCTGCATCTTCAGGGCTGCCTGGGCCTGGTCACCGTGTGGGGCCTTCTGACCCAGCCTTGCCAGGGGCCACGGGCACCGAGCCTTGGGAAGGGGATGCCCCCAAGGGTGCCAGACCAGCCAGCTGCCCTGCCCCTCAGGCCCGGCCTGGCCCCCGAGCATCCCACTCTGGTACCCCAAGCAACTCTGTGGGCAGGCAGTCCCCGCTATGGCCGAGCATCTGGAGCTGCTGGCAGAGATGCCCATGGTGGGCAGGATGAGCACACAGGAGCGGCTGAAGCATGCCCAGAAGCGACGTGCCCAGCAGGTGAAGATGTGGGCCCAGGCTGAGAAGGAAGCCCAGGGCAAGAAGGGCCAGGGGTGTCGGCCCCGGAAAGAGACAACTGGCCAAGGGCCCCAGAAGCAGGTCCTCTTCCCTCCCAGTGTTGCCCTTCTGGAGGCCGCTGCCCGAAATGACCTGGAAGAAGGTGAGTGTGGCTGAGCCCTAGGCTGGACACAGTGGGTGGCCCTGTCCCTGGACATCTGAGTGATCCCGTGCCAGGGCTTGGAGCTGGGCCTGTCCACAGCTCCTGGCCTCCTCAGCCTGGGGCTTGGGTCTCCCCATCGGGCAAGCTCCAAGTGGTGGGCAACCCTGAGGACAGCAGTCCTTCAGGCAGGGATTGCACATAGAGGGGTCCTGCTTTGAGTTGAAGCTGAGTTGTGGGTGGTGAGGTCATGGACTGGACCTATGGGGTGGGCCCACAGGAGCGACTGAGCAGAAACCATCACTGCTCCTTGCCAGGGTACTGGGATGCTCAGGAAAGCCCTGGTTTCAGTCTCTATAAAGTAGGATGGTACCACCCTCTTCTGTGAGCTAGAGAGCTAGACAGTGGGGCTAGCCAGGCTTGAGGTAGGCCCAGAGCTCACACTGGCGGGCCCCCTCTTGATGCTCTGCCTTTGACACCTTCCTCTCTGTTGGAAACTTCCGAATTTGATGACAGGCCTGGGCCTCATGCCTCATGCTCATGGGCCCAGCTGTGTGCAGGTTCCATTTCTAGTGCCCTGAGGTTTAGAGGAAGGCATCTCGGTGGCTCTTGAGAGCCCCTCTTGCCTCCCTTCAGAGCAGAGGATGACGAGAAGCAGGCAGTGCCTGGCTTGCGTCTTCTTATGTGGATAGGAGCCCTCCTGAGATGCCTTGAGGCAGGGAAAAAGAGAAGGAGGCTGCCATGGTGTACCACATGCCAGAGCACAGGGAGCTGTGGGAAGGCAGGTGTATCTTCCTGCTGCATGCCAGGTGTGGCGAGGGAGGACACTGGTGACATTGGTAAGAGTCCGGGTCTGGGATGGGATCTCTGAAGGGGAGCTAGGGCAGGCATGAGCTCTGCTGATGGGGAGCCTGGAGTTGGTCCTGGAGGACCAAGAGATCATGAATAGGCAGCTGGCAGCTGGTCATCGGGGAAGAGCAGAGGAAGCAAGCTGGTGGGTGCTGGCGCAGGGCTTCTCGGGTTCTTCATGAAAATTGCCTCTCATGCCACAGGCACTGCAGCAGCCTGGGGCAGGGAGACCTCTGGGCTGGAGGGAGGCGTGGGATTGTTGGAGGGCTGCTCTTACACAGGAGGGCCTGTTCTGGGGTCTGAGGGATTAGAGCGCCACAGTGCAGGGCCTGCTGGAATTGGAGACAGAGGGCTTCTGGGAGCGTGGCCTGCTTGGGGTAGACAGATGCCTGGTGCTCCTGTGCCCTCCTCTGGGCTCTGGCGTGCCTCCTGCTGTCTGCACTACTCTCTTCCTCATCCTTCCCCAATTCGTGGACTGCAGCACCGTTGGCCAGGTACCCTCAGGCCCAGGGCCTGACCAAGGGTGGTATAGGCCAGTCACAAGACCCTATCCTGACCTCACCTCCTGTTTTTTGCAGTCCGCCAGTTCCTCAGGAATGGGGTCAGCCCTGACCTGGCCAATGAGGATGGCCTGACAGCACTGCACCAGGTCAGCCCGCACTGGGGGTGAGTGGGGCAGGGAGACTGGCCCCAGTGCTCTGGCCGCTTAGGTTGCGTGGTTTGCAGTGCTGTATTGATGACTTCCGTGAGATGGTGCAACAGCTCCTGGAGGCTGGAGCCAACGTCAACGCCTGCGACAGTGAGTGCTGGACACCTTTGCATGCTGCGGCCACCTGCGGCCACCTGCACCTGGTGGAGCTGCTCATTGCCCGGTAGGGCCTGCTGGGCGTCTATGTTAGAGAGGGGCTTCCTCACAGATGGCAGCTCAAGTGTCTCCTCGTGTGAAGTGTTCCTGGCTCTTGGACTCCTGTGTTCCCATCTTTACTTTTGCTGACCCTGCCTGTATCCTGGCATGGAGAGCAGGGCCTGGGACCCCAGGGGAATGAGCTTGTGTTCAGGGCATTGTGGCTTCACTGGTATCCAGGAGCCTCCTCTCTTAATTTACCCACTTAACTCCATGGCAGAACAGAAGGTCAGGGGCTCAGACCATCTTTGGAGCAGTCTAGGTGAGGCTGGGTGGGTATATGGGTGGGTGGCAGTCCTGTCACACACAGGTGCCATGGAGTGGGGTGGGCACAGGCAGGCCCTCGGGTATATCCCGGCCGTGCTCCTCCACTGCACACAGGGAGCACCCTCTTCTGTATTCTGAACTCCTCTTTAGCCCCCTCCTTTCTCTGGACCATACTTCCTGCAGCTCAGCGGGGCTCTCCAGCAGAGTGGTTGCCTGGGTCTTACCCTTGCCACCTTCTGCTCCCCGGAATCCCCAGATTCCCTGCATCCCCCCAGCAGATGGGCCCATTGTGTGTGTTTATGGAGGCACCGGCCCCCCCGGAGGTGCCAAGAACCTGGAACCCAAATGGGTAAAGATTGCAGGATGGCCTGTTTGACTGAAGGGCAGCTACACAGGCCCTGAGGCAACCTCTCCCCATGGTGGATGGAGCTGGGCATCTCCTCCAAGTCTGCCCCATGCTTCCCAAGAAGCAGCCATAGGATAAGTAGGAGGAAGGCCTCTGCAGAGGGAGGACACACGGAGAGGGGAATAGGGGCCTCTCTAAATGAGGAGCTTGGTGCATGGAGAAGGGTCTTGTGGCCAGCAGCCATGTGTTTCCCTCCTGCAGTGGCGCCAATCTCCTGGCGGTCAACACTGATGGGAACATGCCCTATGACCTGTGTGAGGATGAGCAGACGCTGGACTGCCTCGAGACTGCCATGGCTAACCGTGGTGAGTATGACTGCTTGGCTGTACAAGGGCTGGGACCCTGGGGCATACTCTTTCTGAGCCTGCTGCCTCGCAGGCATCACCCAGGACAGCATCGAGGGTGCCCGGGCTGTGCCAGAGCTGCGTATGCTGGACGACATCCAGAACCTATTGGGGACTGGAGAAGATCTGAATGCCCCCCTGGACCATGGGGCCACACTGGTGAGGACTGAAGGGGAGAGGGGGGAATGGGACTGGACGGTTTGCTACTGGTGGGGCATGGGGCTGGAATTCAGGCTGGGCGACTTGCCTGCAGCTGCACATTGCTGCTGCCAATGGGTTCAGTGAAGCAGCTGCCCTGCTGCTGGAGCACAGAGCCAGCCTGAGCACCAAGGACCAGGATGGCTGGGAGCCACTGCATGCTGCAGCCTACTGGGGCCAGGTGAGTGTGGAGCTGGAAGCCCATGGGAGAGGGGGTGGGCTCCACATCTTGGAGCCTTTAGCAGCCCCGGCTGGTCCACAGGTGCACCTGGTGGAGCTGCTTGTGGCACATGGAGCTGACCTGAATGCAAAGTCCCTGATGGAGGAGACCCCCCTTGGTGAGATCCGGGGACCTACCTCCACCTGGTGGAGGGGACAGGTGGGGAGGGCACCCCTGATGCCTGCGCCCACTTCTCCTCAGACTTGTGCGGGGACGAGGAGGTGCGGGCCAAGCTGTTGGAGCTGAAGCACAAGCACGACGCTCTCCTGCGTGCCCAGGGCCGCCAGCGCTCCCTGCTGCGCCGCCGCACCTCCAGCGCAGGCAGCCGCGGGTGAGTGCCGCACCCTGTGCCAGATGCCCTGCTCCCGTCTTCATCTTGGTCTTGTCCTGTCCAGCCCCTCCAGCGGGCTCCGCCCCCTGCCCACCCCTTCGGGCCTTGTCCTTGCTGACGTCAGCTGCCAGGCCAAGGTGCCAGCCAGAACTTGGGGGCAGAGTCCACTGGGGCGGGCAGTGTCCTCCCCTCACTCAGCCCTCCCCCCTCAGGAAGGTGGTGAGGCGGGTGAGCCTAACCCAGCGCACCAACCTGTACCGCAAGGAGCATGCCCAGGAGGCCATCGTGTGGCAACAGCCACCGCCCACCAGCCCAGAGCCACCTGAAGATGATGAGGACCGCCAGACTGATGCAGAGCTTGAACCGCCTCTCCCAGAGGTGAGTGCTGGCTCCTGCTCCACCCAGCACAGGGGTGTGCCTGGCCCTGCCCAGGCTCCTAACCCGATTAGGTGCTCTTGTTCTCCCTCTGCACTGGCACCCTTGTGGAGGTGGTAGGAACTGGTACCCCACAGGGGTCAGCTGCTGCCCCCCCTTTCCCTTCTGCCCCTCCACAACCTCATAAGCCTGGAACCCAAGGCCAGAGGAGGTGAGAGGGGCACCTCCTAATGGCCTCTGGGGCCTTCACTCTGCCAACAGGAGGACAGCCCGGAGGTGGCCAGGCCACACAATGGCCGAGTAGGGGGCTCTCCAGGGCCGCACCTATACTCCAAGCGACTGGACCGGTGTGTCTCCTACCAGCTGAGCCCTCTGGAGAGCACTACTTCCCACGCCCTTGTCCGGGACAAGGCCCACCACACCCTGGCAGACCTTAAGCGCCAGCGAGCTGCTGCCAAGCTGCAGCGACCCCCACCCGAGGGGCCCGAGGCCCCTGAGTCTGGTCTGCCTGCTGACATCGAGACCCCCCAGCCTGAATGTGGTTTCAGGGCAGGTGGGGACCCACCCCTGCTCAAGCTCACAGCCCCATCCGAGGAGGCTCCCATGGAGAAGAAGCCATGCTGCCTGCTCATGTGAGAGGCTGTTGCCTCAAGGTGCAGAGGTCCTGTCCCAAGGCTCAGCCTGAGGTTGCCTCGCCACAGCTCCTGCCTTGAAGGCCCACCCCCAAAGTGTGCCCTGGTGCTGCAGGTGGGCAGTATGGAGTCCCCCCTGGCTTCCACCATCCAGGACACTGGCCTCCTCACTCAGGGATGGACCTGTGTCAGAAGACATGCCCGGGGGCATCTGGCTGCAAAGACTATTTTTATCCTATGACTCTTGATAAAGGGCTGTTTTGCCACCAAGCCTTGTTGTGTGTCTCAGCTGGGCCACTGTCCCCACAGTGGGGAGCAGGGTGTGCTGCTTGGTTGAGGTGCGACCCATGCCCGTGAGCACTGAGGCCTGTAGGTGCGCACTGGGGCATGTGGCAGCCCTGGCCCCTGTGTGGGAGTGAGGCCCATGGCTACTGGGCAAGAAGCCTGCTCCTCACCCACTCCCTCCCTCTCTGTATTCAGCCTCTTGGAGGCTCCTCTGTAACCCTTTGCTTTCCTGAGAGGAGCAGGGTGCTTTGGAAGAAGGCTCCCTGGGGCAAGGGCTGAGGTTGTCTGTACCAGGGGTGAAGGTCCTGGAAAGGAAGGTGATATTTTCCACAAGGCTCTTGCGCCAGAGCCAGAGGGGCAAAACGGGTACAAGGGTGGCGTCAGAAGCTCCCCTGGGGGGTGTGGGCCCCCAGTTCCTGGCGTGCAGCCCTGATCCTGGAGCCTGGCTGCCAGCTTCCGCCTGGGTTGGCATAAGGGACAAGCAGTTGGCCACTCCAGCTCTGAGCTGGCTGGGCACAATGTGTCAGGGTGAGAGGGGCCCCTTAGGGGCCTCAAGCAGGAAGGCTGAGGGCATTGCCAGTTCATCTGCCTATGGTGGGCAATTTTGCACCGCCACCGGTGCTGAATGGCATGGATTTGGGCCGCCCTCCCCTCTTGGTTTGGCACTTGTCTGGTCCGTTCAGTGTCCATAGGGCCTGCCCTCCCCTAGCATCAGTGGTTGTGGGGGAGGGCCGGGCTGGCTGCTGGTTAAATTTAATGTTCTCCTGCCTTGGGCGGGGCAGCTGCCCAAGGTCCACTTGCCACCAGGGCTGCTACTTGGGCCCTGCTGCCAGGGGGCGGGCAGGGGCTGGTCCTGCCTGGGGCTGGGCCCATATTAACCTGTGCTCTGGACTGGAGGCCAGAGGAGCAGTCCTGCACGCTGGGAGACTGTGTGGCAGCAGAGCTGAGAAGTGTGAGGTGAGAGAGGCTGGGGTGCCGGTCACTTGGGGCTTCTGATGACTTCTCTCCCAACCAGCAGGATCAGGAGCCCAGGTTCCCTTGGGCCTGAGGAGCTGCCTACAGCCCAGCTTAGAGGGCCGGCTTCCTGGACTCAGTTCAGGTTGAGTTGCTGGCCGCTGGGATAGGCCTCCCCTGGGCACGGCTTATCTGCTCTCTGCAGGGACTGTGGAGGTGGGGCTCTGAGGGCCTATCACAGCTCATTTCCAGTTCTTTCCACCAATTGGGAACCAGAGGGAAGGGGAACTTGGGTCACCCCTAGCCTGGGGTGTGGCCCCAAGGGCAACCCCAGCCTGGTGCCTGGTGAAAGGGCATGACGGCAGTCCAGAGCAGCTGAGGTCTGAGAGCCCAGGGCTGGCCTGCCTGTCTCCAGCATACCTCCCAATCCCCTGATCCCTTGCAGTGCAGATCAGGGATGGAAGTCTGTCCAACCACAGCCCTCTTGCAGCCTCTAGGCCATGGCTGCCAGACCCAGAGGGGCTGGATGGAACCCAGAGCCTGAACTCCTCCCTCCCCTCCCCCAGTACCCCTCAGGATTCCTGAGGCCTGGCTCAGTTACCTAGGAGACAGGTCTGCTGGCCCAAGCAAAGATGGGGGTGCTGAGAGGGATAGGCCTCCTCCGAGCCCTGCGAGGGTAAATCTCCAGTGACTCCGGCTTCCATTCTTGCCTTAGAGGTCACCCTTTCCAGCTCTGGCAGCCCCTCAGGGCTGCTGGGCCCAGGCACTTTGCTCTCTTCCCCTCCCCCTTCCCAGTCCCTAGGAGTTGTTTGAACCTACGGCTGTACCTACCCCCTATGTGGGTCTCCTGTTCTCCTGTCATGGGGACACTGGGCGGGCACTGGGCCTCACCCCAAGCCCCGCCTGCTGCCTCACCCACTCCCTCTGGCTCCCTGGGGCAGAACTGTGCCCGGACCGGTGGGGCAGGGCCCAGCTGTCCCAACTCCTTGAGCCCTTTCTAGCCTTTTCACAGGGGCCAGCAGGCTGCAGTGAACAAGGTACCCTCTTTTTGAGTCTCCCTACCCAGGTTCTCTTTCTCCCAGCCCTGGCCCACCGAGCCCGGACCCAGCTGCCCCAATCCCCGCTTCTGAGTCCTGCCACCTCCTGAGCCGCCTTCCTGCCTGGTCTAAGCAGAGTCATGGCCTTGAGGGCAAGTGACCAGAGCCAGGCTGCAAGGAATGGGCTGAAGGAGAAGGTGCTGACACTGGACACCATGAACCCGAGTGTGCAGAGAGTGGAGTATGCGGTACGTGGCCCCATAGTGCTGCGAGCCATGGAGCTGGAGCGGGAACTGCGCCAGGTATGGCCCAGGGCCCCAGTACTGCCAGCCAAGTTGCACCTTGGCAGCTGAGTCGGACCCCAGCCCCAGTGGCACACGGGACAAGGTCTCAGGGGTTGATAGGCCCTCGTCTCACGGCGGGCTCCCATCTCTTCCCAGGGTGTGAAGAAACCCTTCACAGAGATCATCCATGCCAATGTTGGGGATGCACAGGCCATGGGGCAGAAGCCCATCACCTTCCTTCGCCAGGTAAGACTCCTGCACTTCCCATAATGCCCTTTCTTCCTGTCCCCTACTCCCCACCCTAGCCTCAGCACTCGATCCTCCCAGGTCCTGGCCCTCTGTGTCAACCCTGATCTCCTGAGTAGCCCCAACTTCCCTGAGGATGCCAAGAAAAGGGCTACGCGCATCTTGCGGGCGTGTGGGGGCCACAGCTTGGGTAAGTGCTCGTGCCAGACCCCGTCCACCCCCAGGGAGCAGCAGAGAAGGGTGGACCTATCATCTCGAGGTGGGAGGTCCCTTCAGGACAGCTGCAGGGGATCTAGTTCAGCCATCCTCACGTGTGGCCTGGCTTCCTGCTCTGTCCCCGGGTCTAGGAGCCTACACGGCGAGTCCTGGTATCCAGCTGATCCGGGAGGATGTGGCACAGTACATTGAGAGGCGCGATGGAGGAATCCCTGCGGACCCCAACAACATCTTTCTGTCCACGGGAGCAAGCGACGCCATCGTGGTAGGCTGGGCCTGGGCAGGAAGACACAGGGACCCTTTGTGCTCGCCCGGATGTCCTGGCACTGCGGAACCAGCCTGGGGCGAGGGAAGGGTGCAGCTCCAGCCCCACCAACCCTGCCCTCCCCTCATCCTTCCTGCAGACGGTGTTGAAGCTGCTGGTGGCCGGCGAGGGCCGCACGCGCACTGGTGTGCTCATCCCTATCCCCCAGTACCCGCTCTACTCGGCTACGCTGGCCGAGCTGGACGCGGTGCAGGTGAACT